GCTCCTCAACCCCCCATTCCCAGACCCCCTTCTCAGTCCCCGGCCCCACTTCCCAGCCCTACTTCCCGGTCCCGTTTCCCCCTTTCCAGGTCCTCAATCTTCCCCCTTCCCAGTTCTCCAAGTCCCCTCTTCCCTAGGGCCCCTCCCCAGTTCCCAGTTTCCCTTCCCGTTTCCTAGGTTCCCTTCTTCCCGGTTCCTCTCATCCTCTCTTCCCGGTTCCCAGCCTTTCTCCCAGGACCCCCGGTTCCCCAGCCCTTCTTCCCGGTCCCCCTCGTCTCCTCCTCCCGGTTCCTCAGCCTTTCTCCCCGGTTTTCCCCAGCCCCACTTCCCAGTTCCCCGGCCTTTCTCCTCGGTTCCCCTCCTCCTGGTTCCCCAGCACCCCTTCCCGGTTTCCCAGCCCTTCTTCCCGGTCTTCCCGTCCTCTCTCACTGGTCCCTCTCATCCCCTCCTCCCAGTTCCCCAGCTCCCCTTCCCGGTTCCCCAGCCTTTCTCCTCTGTTCTCCTCCTCCCAGTTCCCCAGCTCACCTCCTCCGGGTTTCCCAGCCCTTCTTCCCGGTCTTCCCGTCCTCTCTCACTGGTCCCTCTCATCCCCTCCTCCCAGTTCCCCAGCTCCCCTTCCCGGTTCCCCAGCCCTTCTTCCCAGTCCCCCTTGTCCCCTTCTCCTGGTTCCCCAGCCTTTTCCTCCAGTTCCCCAGCTCCCCTTCCCAGTTCCCCAGCTCCCCTTCCCAGTTCCCCAGCCTTTCTCTCCGGTTCCCCAGCCTTTCTCCCGGGTTTCCCAGCCCCCTCCCGGTGCCGTTACCCTCTTCCCACCCCCGCAGGCACCGGCAACTCCCGGAAGAAACGCCTCTACGTGCAGCTGCTCCCGCGGGACGCGGCGGACACGGCGCTGCTGGATCTCAAACTGAGCTCCAAGAGCAAAGCCCTTCCCCACTACATGAAAATAGGGTAGGGGGGCCCTGCCCCAACCCCCTCCTGCCCCACCCCCTGACACCCCTTTGGGTTGATTTTCCAGGGAAATGGGACATTTTGCCATTTGGTGTAAGAAAGGGCCAGTTCCAAAGCCCAGTCCCCAACCTGTTCCCAAGCCCAGGACACTCAGCACTGGCCTGAAGGAGCTTTCCCTCCATCCCCCCGAATCCAGGACTTCTCCAGGATGGAGCCAAAGCAGGTGAGAGATCCCAGGTGGTGGGAAGACCCAGGTGGAGCTCAAGATGCTTCCAACAAAGCAGCTTCACCTCTTCCCATAACCAAGAAGCAGGAAGCAGAGCTTGGGATGTGCCACCTGGTTGTCCTCAAGAGTCCTGAGCCCCTTGGCCAGCTGGACATGAGCCAGGGTGTGCCCAGGTGGCCAAGAAGGCCACCAGCATCATGTCTTGTGTCAGCAGAGTGTGGGCAGCGGCAGCAGGGCAGGGATTGTCCCCCTGTGCTGGGCACTGGGGAGGTGACTCCTCAAAGCCTGGGAACAGGTTTGGGTGAGAAAAGGGACATTGAGGGGGTGGGGAATGTCCAGGGAAGGGGCTAGAGGACAAGGGGAAGGGGCTGGAGAACTTGTGAGGAGCAGCTGAGGGAGCTGGGGGTGTCCAGCCTGGAGAAGAGGAGGCTGAGGGGAGACCTTCTGGCTCTGCAACTGCCTGGAAGGAGGTTGGAGCCAGGGGGGTCGGGCTCTGCTCCCCAGGAACAAGGGATGGGACCAGAGGAACCGGCCTCAAGTTGCCCAGGGGAGGTTGAGGTGGGATCTGGGGAACAATTCCTGCCTGGCAAGGGTTGTCAGGGCCTGGCCCAGGCTGCCCAGGGCAGGGGGGGAGTCCCCATCCCTGGAGGGGCTTCCAAGGCCTGGAGATGGTGCTGAGGGACATGGCTCCAACCTTCATGATTCTACCTACATACACCCCTATTCCCAGCTTTACCTGCACATTCCAGCACTGGGAACAAATCCTTCCACCTCCTGCTTTCATTCCTTTCCTCTGGGGCTCGTTAGGAGGGACATTAATTAATTGTCACCTGCTCCAGGTCCCCGGGGGCTCGAGGCAGCATCAAACGGGCTCCTCAGGATGAGTCTCTCTATGACACCTACAGCATCTACAACCTGTCAGGTGAGGTGGTTCCACCTTTGGATCCCAAATGAAGGGAATTTAAACCAAAAATGGGGCCTGGGAGTCGGGTCCTGCTCTTGGTGCCCTCCTTAAAGCTGGGAATTGGGCTGAATTCCTAGAGGGAAGTTGGGTTTTTCCCCAAGGTTCTCCTTTCCTGAACGTTATTCCTTGCTGGGATTTAAAATTACCACTTGATTTCTTGCTTCTTTGGGCACTAGGGTTTCCCTTCCTACTTAATTTAAGCAGCAATTAATTAATGAGGTGTTTTCTCCTTCCTTTTCCTCAACATCCTTCCTTCTTTTCCAGCCATGGATGGAGTCCCCTTCACCCTCCATCCCAAATTTGAGAGCAGACTCAGCTCCACAGTGAGTCCTCCTTCCAACTCCCTCACAATTCCTCTTAAAAAACCATTATTCCAACTATTTCTTCTTCTAATTAATAATTAAATCTCTTCTTCCAACTATTTTACCTCCTCTTTTAGCCTCTCCTTGCTGACCTGACTGTCAAATCTCTCGCTGACATCGAGAAGGAGGTAAATTTGTTGGTCCCTCCTTTCCTTATTTGTTGGGGGTTTTTTTGGGGGGGGAGATGAATATTTGGAATTATTCCCATTCCAACCTCTCCTTCCTGCTCATTTCTTGATGGGCATTCCAGTCCAATTATGGTTTTTGTTGTGCATTCCAGTACAACTATGGTTTTGTGGTGGAAAGGACGGCGGCCGCGCGACTCCCCCCCAGCGTTTGTTAACACCTCCAAGTTGGAAACTGCATCCAATGAAATTCCAAGATGTTGGAAGAGACCAAGAAGAAATGGGTGTGGTTGGTTGGTTGGTTTTGTTGTTGTTTTTCTAACCTGCCAAAAGATTTGGATGATGATTTTTCAACACAAAGCCAAAATCTCTTGGCACTTTTTGTTGCTCTTCCACTTCTCCCAACTCTTTATCTTTTGGTTCCTGCCCTTTGGTGTTGTTTTAACTCCTGAAAAAAAAACCATCACAAAGCTTCTCCAGTCCCACCAATTTCAAAATCACATCCATTGGGATGGGTTTTGTGTTTTGGTTTTTTTTAGTTACCAAATCCTGAAAATGTTTCTTGAAACATTCTTGAAGTTGGTGCAAAAAAAACCAACCAATTCCCGACGCTCAGTTGGTTGGGTTGGTTGGTTGGTTGGTGGGATGATGGGACCTGGAAAGATTTAAAAAGTCAAGAACTTGGCTTCACAGAGGTGTTTTTCCAACATGATTTGGAAGAAAAAAAAGTTTTCCCCCAAAGGATCAAGAGTTATTTGTCAAAAAAATAAAGAAAACAAGAATTCAAGCTGATTCTGGTGGCCCTGGGTGGTCTCCTCCGTTGGGGATGAGGAGCTTCTGGGGGTCCTTTTCAGGAAGGCACTTTGAGCTTGGCACTCCCCAGCAGGAACTGAAGGATTCTGTCCACTGACAAGGCCAGGAAGAAGTCAACCAGCAACACTTGGGTGATCACCAGCTTGAACTGGGGAAAAGAAACACAATTCATCGCTCTCTGTCCCTTCAGGATGGAGCTTCTGCCCCACGTTGGGCACCCAAAACTGCTCAATGAGAGCTATACCAGGTTGGGAGAGTTGGGGGTGTTCAACTGGTGAGGAGAAGGTTCCAGAAAGACCTTAGAGCCCCTTCAGGCACTGGAAGGTGCTCCAAGGTCTCCCTGGAATCTTCTCCTCTCCATGCTGAACATTCCCAAGTCTCTCCATCCCTTCACCTTCAGGCACTGGAAGGTGCTCCAAGGTCTCCCTGGAATCTTCTCCTCTCCGTGCTGAACATTCCCAAGTCTCTCCATCCCTTCATCCCCCAGCTCCTCTCACTTCAAACTGTTAAGGTACTTCCTGCTTCTGTAAAGCATCATCTCCCTGATTTTCTCTTAAAACCCTTCAAGTTCCTTCAGAATTCCAGTTTTCCCAGTTGAAACTCCCATCAAAATCCAGTAGGTGCAGGGAATGGTGCCCACTCACCTCCGTGGGGATTTCCACCAATCCAAACTGCTCGTTGAACTCTGGTGAGGAACCTGTGAGGAGCCCAACAATGGCAACTCCTGACAGGATGATGCTCCACAGTAGAGGTTTGTTCTCCTGGAGACTCTCCATGAAGGGATGGCCCTGAAAACAAAACACCCAGGAGAAACCATCAGCAAAACTGGGATGTGGAAGAACTTGTGGGAGTTTGGGACTTCTCCTCCTCCCAGAGCTCTTGAGGATCCTTCAAGATGAGTTTTGGTTTGTGTTTTTGGACCTTCATGACAACATGAGTTGTTGGGTTGAGGAAAGACCCCATGGGTAGGTCTGGTAAGAAGCTGAGAAGATCCCCAAGCTCCAAACCCAGTCAAGAAGCCATTTGGAGAGACAATGGATGCTCCTCTGGGATGAGGGAAGAGCTGAGGAGCAGAAGAAGGAACTGGGCTGGAGGGGCAGAAGGTGCCCATGGGGGGCTGAGGAAGATGGTGCCCAAGCAGAAGTTTCCCTGCAGCCATGGAGGAATGTGGTGGGACATTCCCTGAGGAATGTTCCCTGAGGGACATGGTAGGACATGCTCAGAGCAACATGGTGGGACATTCCCTGAGGGATGTGGTAGGACATTCCCTGAGGGATTTGGTGGGACATTCCCTGAGGGATGTTCCCTGAGGGACGTGGTAGGACATGCCCAGAGGAACACGCATGTTCCTGAGGATGTCCAGAGGAACATGGTGGGACATTCCCTGAGGGATGTGGTAGGACATTCCCTGAAGGCACCAGGAGGGGTGGGCTTGGATTTGCTGCCACTGGCCTTGGATGATGATGCAGCTGTGGAAGAGCCCACACCAGGGAAGGTTCCTCTGGGAAGCCCCAGCTGGAGCAGGTTGCTCCTGACCTGGTGGGAAGGGCTTGATGGAGGAGAGGTTGGTGGAGGACTCTGTGGCATGGAGAAGCAGGGGAGGAGCGTGAGGAATCCTCCCTGAGGAGGACAGAGCAGCAGGAAAACTGGGAAGTGACTCTAAACCCCATCCCACGTTGCCCCAACGTTGAGTCTTCTGCCCATGACCTTCATGGGTGAAGAACCTTCCATGACCTTGTCTTGACTTGCTCCTTGGGTTTGTCCTCCCACCCCAATGTGTGTAGGGGGAGAAGTTGAGTGACCACGGGGTTGGTTCCTGGTTGTCCCGTTGGACCCAAACCAGGTCCAAAAGCTTCTCTGGAGCTGGAATGAAGGAGGACTTGCCTTGTAGTTGATGGCAAAGGTGGCCATCTGCATGGCCATGGACATGATGTACACAGTGCTGTTCACCAGGTTGGGCTCAAACTCCTTGTAGAGATCCACAAATTCCTCCCGGCTGGAAAAGAAGGAACCTGGAGGTCACTGGGGTCACCAGGAAGATCCACCACCCCTTGCCTGATCCCACTCATCCCAGTTCATTGAAGGGTATTTTTTTAGAGGTAAAACCAGTTTGATCCCAAAGGTGGAGGTGGGGCTGGAGCTGCAGGGACAGGTGGGTGGTGGGTTCTTCTTCATACAATAAAAAGTGGGAAAGAAGAAGAGGTTTTGGGTTTTTTTTCATGAACTTTCCAATCACGGGGACAGGAGATGTTGAAACTACAAGATGGTGCTTCCAGCCTCCTGATTATGGAATCTGGTTGGAAAAGACCTTGAAGATCAGTCCAACCATAACCCAGCTTTCCCAACCCACAACCCAACTACCCACAACCCAACCCTACCAACCAATAACCCAACTCTACTACCCACAACCCAACTCTACTAACTAAAAACCCAACTCTACCAAGTCCAGTGCTCAACTCATGTCCTTCAGCACCATCTCCAGGGCTTGGAAACCCCTCCAGGGATGGGGACTCCCCCCCTGCCCTGGGCAGTCTCTTCCAGTGGTTAAGGACAGTAAAAGGTGGTAGGATGGGCATGGACCTCTGGAGATCATCCATCCACCCATCTGGAGAGCAGGGTCACCTCCAGCAGATCCCACAGGAACCAGCTGGGCTGGGAATGTCTCCAGAGCAGGAGACTCCACAGCCTCTCTGGGCAGCCTGGCCCAGGGCTCTGCCACCCTCCCAGGCAACAACTTCCTCCTCCTGGGGAGCTGCAACTTCCCATGTTCCAGCTGGTGCCCATGGCCCCTTGTCCTGGCCCTGGGCACTGCTGAGAAGAGCCTGGTCCCCCCCTCCTGCCCCCCTGGAGATCTGGAGCAGCCTTGAGGAGACCCCTCCTCAGGCTCCTCCACCAGGACACAACAATCCTCCCTCAACCTCCTCCTCTCCAGCTGAACAGCCCCAGGTCACTCAGATGTTCCTCAGAGCAGCAAATGGACCAGAGTGGGAAGCAGGAGGACTCACCTGGAGCTGCTGCGTTGTTGGGCTCCCTGGTAGAGGTACACGAGGCTGAGGAAATGGACCAGGAACTGGAGCAGAACCGTCAGGACTGTGTAGAGGTTGAAGATGTTGGGCAAGGGCCTTTCCTTGGAGAGGGTTTTCAGAGGCTGAGGGAGAAAAATCAAAAGAGGGTTGAGTTGGTTTTGGATCCTTTCCAGGCAAAATCCACCTGATGTTTTGTGTTCTGGAGGAGATGTAAGAATTCTGGAGGCACCAACAGGGACATGGAGGTGTTGGAGAGTGCAGAGGAAGCCATTGAGATGATCCATGGCTGAAGGAGCTCTGGAGACAGGTTGGGAGAGTTGGGGTGTTCAGCCTGGAGAGGAGAAGGCTCCAGGGAGACCTTGGAGCAGCTTCCATTGCCTGAAGGGGCTCCAGGAAAGCTGGGGAGGGAGTTGGGCCAAGGGCAGGGAGTGATGGGACCAGGGGGGATGGCTTGAAACTGGAGAGATTCTGATAAGAGATGAGGAGAAAACGAGGGTGGGGAGAACCTGGAAGTGGTTGCCCAGAGAAGTTGTGGATGATGGAAGTGTCCAAGGGCAGGTTGGATGGGGCTTGGAGCAGCCTGGGCTGCTGGGAGGGGTCCCTGCCCATGGTGGGGGTGGGACTGGATGGTCTTTGAGGTCCCTTCCCACCCAAACAAGTCTGGGATTCTGGGATTCAACCCTTATGAACAAACGTTCCCTCAAGGAAGTGCTGGTCCCAGGAAGACCCCAAATGCCAGGATGAAATGATGTAGTTAAATGGTTTCTTCCTCTCAGAGGTTCCCTCAAGAATCCTGAGAGGACCAACGTGGTCCCACCACCTCCCATCCCTCACCTTGGACCTGGAGATGAAGAGGAAGCAGCCAGCCAGGAGAAGTCCCTGTAGAGTTGCCTGAAAGTCACTGAACTTCACCCCTTCCAAGTAGAGGACACTCTGGCTGTAGGCCAAGATCAGGGCATTCAGGGCCAGGATCTTGAACATCTGCAGGGTGGTCACCAAGGTGCAACGTCCCTGCTTGATCACGTGGCAGACTGAGGAGGGAGAAGTTTGTATCAAAAAAAA